GGAAGGAAGGAAGGAAAGGGAAGGAGGAAGGAAGGAAAGGGAAGGAGGAAAGGAAGGAAGGAAAGGGAAGGAGGAAGGGAAGGAAGGAAGGAAGGAAAGGGAAGGAAGGAAGGAAGGAAAGGGAAGGAAGGAAGGAAGGAAAGGGAAGGAGGAAGGAAGGAAAGGGAAGGAAGGAAGGAAGGAAAACAACGTGCCCTTTGTGTGTTCAAGCATGCATTAAACATTAACTGTTCAATGCACACTTAAGGACCTTGTGGCAATGTTACAAACCTTGCAATTAACCTTGCTGGCTTCTGGGCAAAGAAGATCTGTCCAATTTGCCCACCGCGCAGCAATTTAACCTTTGTACCTTTTTGTATTTTTAAATTTTACGTCCTGCCTTATTTTCACCGTGATGCTTGTGGACTTCAAGTCCCCAAATCCCATAAAGTTGCCAGCTGGGGAATTCTGGGAGTGGAAGTCCACCAGTCTTAAAGTGGCCGAGTTTGGAGACCTTTCCTCTGGAGGTTTACAGAGGCCTCCGCTTTGCAAAAAAAATAAAAATAAAAGCAATTTCTCCGCCTCAGAGGCCTGTTTTCAAGGAAGCTTACATTCATTCTTCCCCGAAGCTTAAGTGGTTTGTTTTCTTTTTATCTTCCCTATTTCTCCCCCCCCCCCCCCCCCCACTTAGGAATCTCTCGCAATGCACCGTCCGGATTTCATTTCGAGCTCCGGCGAACGTCTGAAGCGCCTCAAGCTGCTCACGGAAGAAAGGAAGCTGCAGAGCGTCTTCCAGGAGGAGAGGGAACAATTGTTTAACCCCCCCGAGGCGATGCGTTGCGGGAACATAGGGGGTCTTGCTGACCGAGGTACCCCTTCGCTTCCAGGGGAGCCGAGCCGGGCTCCAAAATGCAGGCGGGGGTTGGTTTGCTGAAGAAACAAAGGAAGAGAGCGGTGGGCCGGCTGGTCTTTGGCAGCAGGAACAGAGACCTTCCTCTCCGAATAGCCCGGCTGCTTCTGCTCTAAGGGGTCCCCGGGGCTCTCGGAGCTGGGTGGTTTTCTTGCAGACGTTTCATGACCCATCTAGGTTTCCTCCTCAGTGCTAGAAGGGAGGAGGGTTTGGGGAGAGGAGGAGGAGGAAGAGAAAGGAGAAGGAATAAAGGAAAGGAAAGGAAAGGAAAGGAAAGGAAAGAGGGAGGAAGGAAGGAAGGAAGGAAGGAAGGAAGGAAGGAAGGAAGGAAGGAAGGAAGGAAGGAAAGGTTATAGGGGTCCTTGGTGCTCTCTGAGCCTGTTTG